AACAACAATAATATAACATAACTTTATTCATACAGTCCTGTTCAATAACAACAATAATACAACATAACTGCATTCATACAGTCCTGTTCAACAACAACAATGATATAACATAACTTTATTCATACAGTCCTGTTAAACAGGATTAATAACATCGAGGTTAACCCCAGTGCAGAAACAGTTTGTGTGTGTGTGTGTGTGTGTGTATGTGTGTGTGTGGTAATCAGCAGTAAGTGGAGTGTGTTTCTGGACAGAGACGATCAGCTGCCTGCAGCCGATCAATACTGAGAATGGAGGGAGAGAGATCATTGTATTTGTGTGTGTGTGTGCCTCCTCAACGTCACTATGTAAAACAGTTTTTATACCAACGGTGGTGTTGTGTGTGTTGTGATGGCCCTGCCTCTAACAACAGTCGTGGCTGTCAGGTGAACTCTCAACTTCCTCCCAGACGTTTTAAAAAAGACAAAGTTTTGAGTTCAAGATGTGGTCAATACACATACTCACATGCACGCACACACACGCACACACACACGCACACACACACACACACACACACACACACACACACACACACAGGTTGAGTTTCAGTAAAATGATCTGACAACACACACTTTCCCGTCAGTCACAAAACACTACAAGTAAATGATACATCCTAAAAGATGACGTAATATATGTGAGTATATATGTTTGTTGTACGGATAAATAAAGAATGAATGAAGTTATGTTGCTGAGAGCAGCAGAGCTCTGACAGGCAGTGAGTTTAATGTTCAGGATCGAAAACCGGTCAATCAAGACTAGTGAGCGCCATTGAAAGCAGCTCAGGCTTTCATTGATTTCCATTCTCATCAGAGGAATAATAAAGTGCTTTTGTCACATCGCTGCACACGTTTTGCTCCCGGACACAAACGATTTCCAACATCCGTCACAGAGATTAATGAGCGAGCTTCTGAAATACCTCATGACCCTACTAGTATTACTACCATTGATTTAGTTATAGTGCTACTAGTATTACTACCATTGATTCAGTTCTAGTACTACTAGTATTACTACCATTGACTACTGGTATTACTACCATTGATTTAGTTATAGTGTTACTGGTAGTACTACCATTAATTTAGTTCTAGTACTACTAGTATTACTACCATTGACTACTGGTATTACTACCATTGATTTAGTTCTAGTGATACAGGTATCACTACCATTGATTTAGTTATAGTACTACTAGTATTACTACCATTGATTTAGTTATAGTACTACAGGTATTACTACCATTGATTAAGTTATAGTGCCACTGGCTTAGCACAAAGACTGGAAGCCGAGGGAGACTGTTAGCATAGCTTAGCACAAAGACTGGAAGCAGGGGGAAACTGTTAGCATAGCTTAGCACAAAGACTGGAAGCAGAGGGAAACTTTTAGCATAGCTTAGCACAAAGACTGGATGCAGAGGGAAACTGTTAGCATAGCTTAGCACAAAGACGAAGCAGAGGGAAACTGTTAGCCTAGCTTAGCACAAAGACTGGAGGCAGAGGGAAACTGTTAGCCTAGCTTAGCACAAAGACTGGATGCAGAGGGAGACTGCTAGCCTAGCTTAGCACAGAGACTGGATGCAGAGGTAGACTGTTAGCCTAGCTTAGCACAAAGACTGGATGCAGAGGGAGACTGTTTGCCTAGCTTAGCACAAAGACTGGATGCAGAGGGAGACTGTTAGCCTAGCTTAGCACAGACACTGCATCAGATGAGGATGAACATGATGAGAAGATGCTGCTCACCTTCAGATGGATCGATGACAGAAGAGATTTGAGTTTTGTCATAACTGATATCAGAGGAACGAGTGAGTGTTTCTTTTATTGATCAGCTGGAAACCAATCAGCTTCCTCTCTGTGTAAGTGAATTAAACTGAAGTGTACGTGGCCCCCCAGGGCTTAATGATATAGGAGGTAACATCTGGGGCTCTGTAGGCAGGATCGATCGGGGGGGAGGAGAGGAGGAGGAAGGAGACAGGGAGGAGAGAGAGAAGGGAAACAGAGAGAGAGGAGCAGCAGACAGTCTCTCCTCCTCACGCTTCACACCACAGAAGAAGAGAAACAAGAAAGGAAGTGAAGGGAAAATGGAAGTAAACAGATAAACTTGAGCTTTTATTTTGAAGTTTTTCTTTTATAAATCTTTACATCGATTGTTTTTTCTTTACGTTACGTTTTTAAAAACAAGATGAGAGTTTTGCTGTTGATCCTCGGGGTCGTCCTGGCGATGATGGTAACCCGGGGCAGCGGAGCACGGGTGGTGAGCGGTGAGTTACGAAAATAAAGTTTAATAAATAAGATGTCATTGATACTGAGTGTACTTATGACTTAGGATCAGTGAATAAACTGATCGAACAGCATGAAAGACGTTCCAAACATTTGGTTGATTATAAATAATTCATTGATTTGTATTGAAAATGTATTCAAATAACATTAAACATCACTTAATTAACGCCTTAAACGTGAAAAGTCAGGATGTTTTTATGCTATTTAGTAAATGTTAAGGACTTTTTACCCTTCAAAAAATAGATGAAAAATAATTGTGGTGAGACAAAATGAAGGCCGTTTTCAGTCACGTTGTTGTTATTTTGCAAATTTTAAGAAGATTTCAACCATTAAATACATTTGATTCCATTCATAAAAACCCATTAACATCCCTAACAAAATAAATACATTTTATTGAACCCAAATCTGGGTGAACCCATAAAACAGGGTTTCAGCTTCAGCTTCAACCACCACTTCAGGTGAGGTGGTGGTTGAAGCTGAAGTTCCAGCATCATGACCAGCACTGAATTAGAGGCACTGATGATGATGCATCAGTTCATTCAATGATCAATATATATATATGATGTTATCATTTATATTGAAATTATTTATTTATTTCATTAGAAATTGTTTTGATGCTAAAAAAGAGAGGGAGACAGAGAGGGAGAGAGAGACAGACAGAGAGAGACAGAGAGAGAGAGAGAGAGAGAGAGAGGCTGATAGTAGACTGATATATATGGAGCTCTTTAGTGGCTTTAACAGTAAAGTGATGATGCTGCAGAAGAGAATCCAGCTAATCACTTAAAGTAAAGTGTGTGAGGCTGTTTTAACCAGACTGTGTATTAATCACTAGAGACACACACACACACACACACACACTCAGGCAAACACACACGCATACACATACACACACACACACCCACACAGCTTTTCTCTCAGTGACTCTGCTGTACTGATATCAGCGTTTCTATGCAAAGTGATTGTCACTAATATGATAGAGTCATGAAGAGATCAAGGAAGAAATAGGCCTCCTAGTAAGGGATCAAGTACAAAGAAGGATCCTAGTAACGGATCAAGTACAAAGAAGCCTACTAGTAAGGGATCAAGCTCAAAGAAGCCTACTAGTAAGGGATTACGGTATGTACAAAGAAGCCTCCTAGTAAGGGATCAAGTACAAAGAAGCCTACTAGTAAGGGATCAAGCACAAACAAGCCTCCTAGTAAGGGATCAAGTACAAAGAAGCCTCCTAGTAAGGGATCAAGTACAAATAAGTCTACTAGTAAGGGATCAAGCACAAAGAAGCCTCCTAGTAAGAGATYAAGTACAAAGAAGCCTCCTAGTAAGGGATCAAGTACAAAGAAGCCTCCTAGTAAGGGATCAAGCACAAATAAGCCTCCTAGTAAGGGATCAAGTACAAAGAAGCCTACTAGTAAGGGATCAAGCACAAAGAAGCCTCCTAGTAAGGGATTAAGTACAAAGAAGCCTCCTAGTAAGGGATCAAGTACAAAGAAGCCTCCTAGTAAGGGATCAAGTACAAATAAGCCTACTAGTAAGGGATCAAGCACAAACAAGGCTACTAGTTAGGGATCAAGCACAAAGAAGCCTACTAGTAAGGGATCAAGCACAAACAAGGCTACTAGTAAGGGATCAAGTACAAAGAAGCCTCCTAGTAAGGGATCAAGCACAAACACGCCTACTAGTAAGGGATCAAGTATAAAGAAGCCTCCTAGTAAGGGATCAAGCACAAACAAGCCTCCTAGTTAGGGATCAAGCACAAACAAGCCTACTAGTAAGGGATCAAGCACAAACAAGCCTACTAGTAAGGGATTAAGCACAAAGAAGCCTACTAGTAAATTCGCCAAATTCTCAATTATCCATCAGTTATACGTCCAGGTCCGGATAGGACAGCGTCTGGGTCCGGATCCGGTCCGCCTATTTGTGACCCCTGGCCTATGCGTACAGCCAACACACAGAGAGCTCTCTTTTACAGCTGGTTCTTCTTTGTCAATTTGAATCATTACCCCATTACAACTTTTAGTTTTTCATCAGCTAACGCCAATCACCCTCTCTCCTCCGCCACAAGCATGGATTCTGTTGAGGGGACCCCAGACATTCAAACTCTATCACACAAGCGAGAATCACGCATACAGAATTAAAGACTGAGATATAAAATCTCCTACCTGATATGTTGTCCTCTAGTGCGATTGTCGGTTGGCTGAAGAAGTGGAAGATGTCCCGAGCCTCAACTCAAACACAGGTTGGGTGCCAATTATGTTGTGGCACAAACACCACCATCATGTAGTGGTAGAAACAGAAACACCACCATCATGTAGTGGCAGAAACACAAACACCACCATTATGTAGTGGTAGAAACAGAAACACCACCATCATGTAGTGGCAGAAACACAAACACCACCATCATGTAGTGGTAGAAATGAAGAGAAGAGATGCGGTTGGTGGAGTTGCAAACCAGCGGGGAAATGTCTTTATTGCACTCAATGGCAATTCATAACAAATCCGATGTGATAGTTCTTACGTCATACTTTTATAGTCTAAATTCAGCCCCTTTTGTCACTTTCCACCAATCAAAACCCATTGATTGAACCATAAACAAAGCACATCTGGTCTTCTCATTATGTCATGCTCTCTTGTCCTCGTCTGGGTCAACATAACATTTTGGCATAATGAGTTATATGAGGCTTTTCTTCAACAGTAGTTGGGATGGATCAAGAAGAAGCTTCCTAGTTGAGGTTTAAGGAGATGACACAGTAGGAGGGACTATGACTCTGTCCTTCCCCCTCAGGTCAGACGGTGTGTCTCAGAGGTCCAAAGCGTCCTTGCTATAAGATTGCTTACTTCCACGACGTGTCGAGCCGCATTGCGTTCAGAGAAGCTCGTCAGGCCTGTGAGATGGATGGAGGCTCTCTGCTCAGCATCGAGAGCCCGGTGGAACAGAACCACATCGAAAACCTGCTGCAGGTGAGACCCACAACTGGTCCTCTTCATCTCCTCCTCCTCTCATCTTTCTCTTTCTCGTCTCCAGGAGCTTCGTTCAGGAGCAGTGGGCGGTGCAGGAGGAGGTGCAGGAGGAGGAGGTATAGCGGACGGGGACTTCTGGATCGGTCTGACTCGGGTGGACGGAGTCGACCAGACTCATCCTGAACTCAGCAACACCTTCACTTCCTGTCCACAGCTCTACCACTGGACCGATGGGAGTCTGGCCTCCTTCAGGTGAGTAAAGGTGATGCTGATGTTGAAGCCTCCAAGCTAGGGATCAAGTACAAAGAAGGGGGTGAGGTTTAGCAAACAGCCAATTTACTAGTGATGATGATGATGATGATGATGTAGGAACTGGTATTTTGACGAGCCGTCCTGTGGAGGAGAGGCCTGCGTCGTGATGTACCATCAACCAACTGCTCTACCTGGTCTGGGCGGCGCTTATCTCTACCAATGGAACGACGACCGCTGCAACATGAAACACAACTTCATATGCAAATACCAACCAGGTACCATCAGCCAATCAGCTTCACTCTCTGTTAGACAAACCAGGTACCATCAGCCAATCAGAATGTAATTACATGTGTTTATTATATTAAATTAATATATTTATAAAATCACTGTTTCATATAGAGACCATATATCTCTATATGAAGCAGTGATTTTATAAATATATTCATTATCTTTAGCCATATTGAGAAAGCCTTTCAATCTTTTTGTTTGCAGATTCTTTCTCTCAGAATTTCTCGTTTTTCTTTTTCTTTTTTTAATTTGTTCTTAATTTCATTATTTCATTCACTTGTTCACTTCTTTTGTTTGATCTAATTATATATTTTTCAACTGAATTCATTTTGTTTGTTCATTCATCCTTTCTGCCTTTATTTTGTTCTTTCAGAGACTCATCTTGTGAAGGAAAAAGGTGCCACACCTGCAGGGCGGAGCACAGGTGAGCAGGAAAGTCCTTATAGGGTCATGTCTTCATATATGTATGTATATATATATATATTTATACATGTGTGTGTCCTCAGACGCCACTGCAGGTGGAGGTGTGGTCAAACAACCTGCAGGCAGTGAGGAGGTCCCCCCTCAGGTGACCATGGCTGGAACTTCAGGTACGAGTCCCTTTGACCTCTGACCCCTCTGACCTCTGAACACGTGTAATGTTTTGTCTGTCTGTCTCCAGGCATGTTACTGGTGTACGTGATCATACCCACAATCCCCCTGCTGCTGCTCATCCTGGTGGCTTCTGGGACATGTTGTTTTCAGATGCTCAGTAGAAGGTAAGACTAAAGAAACTACAAATCCCAGCACCCTCTTCTCCTACTCCCGTTGATAAGTAAAGAGGTGAAGTCCGTCCCCTCCGCTGTGAACCATGGCAGCTTATTTCAGGAGTGACAAATGTTTTTGTGATTCTGTTTAGTTTCTGCCATTAATGATACATTTAGAAAGTCAAGAGTAGCAGTTTGTTGTGGTTTCATTTAGTTTCATTGAATAACATCTATCTCACCACATCTACGTCACCAACACAAGGTAGCAAGGTAGCTCAGCTCCGTTTAACTCGGCTCAGTTTAACTCGGCTACGTTTAACTCGGCTACGTTTAACTAGGATAAGTTTAACTTGGCTACAAAGCTAACAAAGACTGTTTTATTTTGTTTCTGCTGAGTTTGAATGACGTTTGTTTGTTAAATTCTCTTTAGGGACAAACATACTGTTTGAGAAACATTTTTCTCTCCACGTTGACTTCCACAGATTTTTAACGATATCAGGTCTCATGGGAGGAGTAGTGGCTTCACCTCTCTTTTACTGCTGATGATGCAGTGTGTGTGTGTGTGTGTGTGTGTGTGTGTGTGATGCTTACTCAGTGATTATGACAGATCAAACACTGACATCTTGTTAATAAGAGCTGATTTACGGAAGCACCTGGCTCACTGCTCTGTCTGCCCTGTCCGTGTGTGTGTGTGTGTGTGTGTGTGCGGGTGTGAGTTGTGTGTGAGAGAGAAACAGTCTGCTCTCTATATTCAGTGAACCTGCTGTGTGTTTCAAAGTACTAATACCACACAGTAAAATACTCTTACTGTAAAAGTACTAATGCAACAATGTAAGGTAACTAAACCTGTCAGAAACATGTGGTAGAGTAGAAGGACGAGTACTTGAAACTTGTACCTAATTACAGTACTTGAGTAAAAGTACTCTCTCCTCGCAGTACTCCTCGCACCAAGACTGCCGTCGTGTCTCAGTCAAACCTTTGGATCTCCAAGACGCCCAAACCAGACCGGATGGAGGTCTGACATCTGTGATGTCACAGTGATGTCACAGTGTTGTCAGCAGAAGGATGACATCACATCACGCCTCCGCCAATCATCTTCATCGAGCGGTGACGGACAGTGTTTATACTCGTTCACTGTACTGCAGAATAAACACATTACTGCACATTACTTTCATGTAGATAAGTGTACTTTACTGCCCTCTCTTCCTTCCTTATGTCCTTCTCTCCTCCCCCCTTGATGTTGAACGTTTGCACTTAATGAAGTGGCAGTGATCAGCAGCCAAGAAGAAATGAAGCACCCCTCAAGGCGGGTGGAGTCACTGCAGGGATGCGTTTGATTTCAGAGCAGAGGGGGGTAGGATTCATATTTCTGCAAATTAAAAAGGGAAGGACAGAGAGATACATCGGCCATCTTTATATACAGATAAACGTGTGTATATATAAGATATCATTTGGGAGGAACATCATTTTATTCTTCATCTAATAAGAAACTTGGTCGCCTCCCTTCGGACGAACAGAGAAAATAGTTTATTGTGTAATCAGTATATAAACATGTGATAACTGGTTTAAAACCCACAATAAGAGAGTTGTGAGCTAATTAAATGTTCATAATCAGGTTTTATAGTTTTGTGATACTGCTCGACAGTTTTGGTGTTCAAACCCTTTCATTGCCTACGCTAAGTTTCCAAGAAGCTGAGCGTGTGGTGACCTTTGTCCACGCAATATACTTCTCTATTGTACGAGAGACTTCGGCAGGTGTACGATTAGCTCCTTCTGACCTCCTCTTGGCCTGTCTAACCGATGTTTAACCGTGTAACCTCGATGTAAAGGGGAAGTTTCCTCAGCCCCGCTGTGTGCTTAAATATTCAACTCATCTTGTAATGAGTTGTTCTTTCTCATGCAGATAATCTTTACGCTAATTGAACCTTCTCTGTGAAGAGAATAAAATCCACAAAGACAAGTTCTGTTTCATAGTATTCTTTGTTTCAGCACCTTTAAAAGACTCACGGTTTAGCGGGTATAATAATTTCCGACATACTATAATATAACTATTTTAATTACTTTTACGACATACTAAAAAGTTATTTATAAAGTAATAGTATAGCATATATAGCAAAAGTTAGTTTAGTAAGTCTTAAAAAGTTTGTTTGTTTTGGTATTAGAGAATTATTAACCATAGTCCACACTCCAGATCAGTGGGTGACGGTAATACACCCAAAAGCTGTTTGCCAACCGCCATGAAAAGCAAAAGAAGAAGAAGAAGAAGAAGAAGAAGAAGAAGCAGCAGCAGCAGAAGCAGCAGCAACAGCCATGTGCGGCAGCTGAAGGAAATCTTTACTGCGGACAAGGACTGTAGGAGATCAGAGTGCGGAAGAAGAAAAGTGTGTTGGAAAATGGTTGATTACGAGAAGAGAGCAGAAATTTTGCGGTTGAGCAACAACTGTACCATGAATGCAGATATCATGGGTGATATTTGAGATGGCGAGAGTGATAATATGCCATGGCAAGAAGCTACCAGAAAGAGGAGAAACAGTGAAGGCTACTAGATCAAGTGTGAGGAAGGAGGATGAACCAAATGAATGGAAAGTTGTGGTTGCGTTTAAGAAGGAAGGGTCCCATTATCATCCGTTAAAACTGACAAAGGCAATAGAGAAGGAAATGGGAAAGATTAAGTTTGCCAAGTTTTTAAACAGGTGACTTTTGATCTTTGCTACAGATCAGAGGCAACGAGAGAAGAACCTCAGAGCTGTCATGTTCCAGGGAGGCTTCAAAGCTGAGAGGTGTTATACAGGATGTGCCAGTGTCCATAGATGAGATAATCCAGGAAGTGAAAGGAGGAAAGGTAGTGAAAGCTTCCAGACTTCAAATAACTGGAAATGGAATGAAAACTGATAGCCTATCAGTGCTGCATGAGTTTGAAAAGGTCTTGTCTAAGAAAATAAGAACAGGATATATGAGCTATGATGTAAAAGAGTTTATTCCAGCTCCTTTAAGATGCTTCAAGTGTCAAAGAATGGGACACACTGCAGGGCAATGTGAGGGGAAGCAGAGATGTGACAGAATTAAGAGATACTGGGAAGTTAAGGCTGATCTGATTCATGAGATATTGATCACAAAAACCGGAATACAAAACATGCAGTGAGCAGGAAACACCAGAAACTAGTTTCCCTCAGTAAAGCCAGGAACAGCAACCGCGTCAAGCTGAGGACCAACAGAATCCAACTCAAACCTGACACCAACGAACAATAACTCCTCCACAGAGGAAACAAACTGATCCGTACAGAGTTTAACAAACCCACTAACAGTAAGAGCAGCCCTTACACAGCTAACATCACTGCTGCCCCGTCCCTCTGACTGCCTAACCAGAGACTAACTAAGCTCCCCCTAGTCTTCAGGTGCTACTTGTGGTGGGTACTTACGCACTAAAACCTGCAGGCCCGGTAAAGCAACCAGGAACTGGCCACCCACCTGCAGCCTCGGACGTGCCCCCGAGACAACTGCTCTAACCACTTTCACACCACACTACAGAAATTACGTTTATTTAATGAACCAGTAACTAAACTAAACCAACCAACCAACCAACAGCCAGGTCCTCCAAACAGCAGGCAGGGAGGAGAGGAGCAACCGATCCTTGTTGAGCTGTGGATTTATATATCAATCACCCCATCAGTTCAGGTGGGCTCATTAGCTGCTGATCAACATCCTGAAAGACACACACCCTAGTGGGAGGGAGGGGTGGACACACACCCTAGTGCAGAGGTAGCCAACACGGTCCCGCGGGCACCTGGTCGCCAGCGGGGACCATGCGAGTCACCCGCAAGGCATGTTCTAAAAATAGCACTAGGTCCCCATGGAGCTCGGTCTAAAAAACGCTTGCATTCATGTAGATTTTAAAAGGAAGAGGCCGCCGCACCGCACTAGGTTTTCAGGTTTCGAATGGCCGCCATCGCCATCGCACACCGTCGTCAGGTCCGTCAGTCCTCAGAACAGGCCGCGGGGCAACAACTCGTGGGTGGCGGGGGTAGAGGCGAGGCAACGCAGTACGATCGAAAAGGCCCAGACTAGAGGTTTGAACGCGGGCGACCAAAGACGCTCGCGTGCCTCGGAGGGTTGGATCCCCCCCTCGGCTATAGACAAGACGTTTTACTAGTTTCTTCGTGGAGAAAAAGGTACCCAAAAAGAAGCTGGTGTCGGTAACTACAGACTACAGGCCGGCATGCAGGCTTCATTGCGCAATGCAAAGTTGACCCAGATTTCCCAAAATGTGGTGATTAGTACTAATGTAATAGGATTCATTTAAACATGTGAAAGAGTTGATGTTTTTATTCTACATAACTGATAATTTGTATAAACATGGGACAGAGTTCATAATTTGTTCAAAAATGTTACGAAGGTAGTGGTTAGTACAAACGAGTCATGATGTGAAGATATGACAGTTAATGATTTCCTAATTGTTTTTAGAAATGATCATTTTTACAAAAATATAACAGGTGTGATTTTGAACAAAATACACAATCATTGTGAATAATTATTGTGAGGAATAATTAACATTGACATGTGATCAGTCTCTTCACATAAATTATTATTAAAAGGTGATCGTGCAACTTTGTTATTCATGAAGTTTGTATCAAACAAGTAGCCCTTCGTACTGCTCAGTACCCTTGAAGTAGCTCTCAGTTTCAAAAAGGTTGGTGACCCCTGGGAGGGAGGGGTGGTCACAGACCCTAGTGGGAGGGAGGGGTGGTCACAGACCTTAGTGGGAGGGAGGGGTGGTCACACACCCCTAGTGGGAGGGAGGGGTGGACACACACTAGGGGTGGGAATCACCAGAGATCCCGCGATATGATATTATCATGATACTTGGGTCACGATACGATATTATCACGATACTGCGATTTATTATTTTTTTCAACTTCAAATTATGTCCCCAAAGGAAAACTGTGTTTTATCTAATAAGATACAGTTTTCAGTCTGTTCATCTCACTTCAATCATTTTTATTGCAGCAGAATATGATTGTCAAGCAGACAGACTGACCAACAATGTCCTAAATGTTGCATGAACCTGACAAACTGAACTGTTTGTATTACTACATAGTCCAACTTAACTAAATGCAAACGTGTGGACTCAGTATATGAACTATAACTTATATAAGTAGGATATAAGAGTTATATAACTCAGTATAACTTGCGATGCGTGGACGTCGAGGCAGAGAGCCAGTTATGCGCTGCACTCTCCCCATGAGCCTGGCTACTGTTGGCAGATTTAACCCCGTTGTGAGGCCAGATGTCTCCCTTTGTTTTGACCAACTTCCTCCCAATCACGCTGACCCAGGACCTTTCCTGACCTCACCAGAAAACAACTCAGCACCATCTAGTGGACTGAAAAAGCAATTGATTTGATTTTTTTAATTTATTTTTAATTTTTAATAGTTTATGTACATAAAAGAGCGATACTTGGCGTCCATGTATCGATACAATATCGCCACACAAAATATCGCGATACTATGCTGTATCGATTTTTTCCCCCACCACTAACACACACCCCCCTAGTGGGAGGGAGGGGTGGTCACAGACCCCTAGTGGGAGGGAGGGGTGGTCACGGTTCTTTAGTTCAGTAGACGTTCTAACGAAACACTGCGAAAAGAAGAAATCAGCTGGAAGCTGAGATTGAATCGGGAACATGTCGTAAAAGTCAATGAAACTGTTTGAAACATTGTTTCCTACACTAAGGGAGCTAGGAAAGGAAGGTCCAGAGTTCCATTGTGAGGAAGAAGATGAGAAGGAGAGAAGGAGGTGGAGAGGAGGAGGTAGAGAAGGAGGTGGAGGAGAGGAGGAGGAGGTGGAGAAGAGGAAGGAGGTGGAGGAGCTTTACAGTTGAGCAGATTTCAGGCTGAACAAAAGAACAGAAACAATAATGATGAATTGATTATTGATCTCTGATCAATCACATCTTTATTAAAGAGACAGAACAGAATTGATCCTTCAGACAAACAGAAAGCGTCTCTGGTCCCTCGGGAGGTTCTACTGAGGTTCTCCTGAGGTTCTAGCAGCGTTCTGTCAGAAGAACCTCGTGTAAGGGTCTAAGATTTGGAGGACTGAGCGTGCTCAGTGACGACCTCCATGTCGTCGACGGCCACCACCGTCTCTTCCTGTTTGTAAGTCAGAGCGGGCGTCATGTCGTCGTCAAACAGGATGGGCGGGGCCTCCTCCACAGGCTCCGCCCCCACACCGTGCATGCGTTTCCTGTGCTGCTGCAAGTTCCCTCTGCGGTTGAAGCGCGCAGCGCAGAGGTCACAGGCGAACGGACGCTCTCCGGTGTGGACGACCACGTGTCTGGCGAGCTGCGAGCGGCACTTCTTGTCTTTGCCACAGATGTGACAGACAAAGCTCTGCGGCAGCTTCGCCCCGTCGGCGTGGACGACCTCACGGTGCCTCTTCAGGTGTCCGAGGCGCCGGAAGCTGCGGCTGCAGAAGTCGCAGCCGTACGGTCGGTTATCGCTGTGGATCAGCGAGTGACTCGCCAGCAGCGACTTGAATTTGAAAACCTTGCCGCAGATCGGACACGGGAACGCTTTGACCGGCGCCGTGCTCCTCCGGCGGCCCGCGGCGTGCGACCCCTCATTAACTTTCACCCTCAGGTGGATGCGCAGGTGGTGCTGCTTAAGGCAGGTGGCACGCTGGAAGCCGCGCAGACAGACGCCGCAGCGGTAAGGCTTGTCGCCCGAGTGGATGCGAGAGTGAGCGGCGAGCAGCGCCTCGGTCTTCAGCCGCTTACCGCAGATGCCGCAGGCGAACTGCGACTCAGGCGGCGGGTTCTCGTAGCCGTCGGCCTGGTTGGCGTGAACCAGGACCTTGTGGCGCTTCAGCTGGTACTGACGGCCAAACTTGCGTCCGCAGACGTCGCAGAGGTGCGGCCGTTCGCCGGTGTGAGTCTGGAAGTGGACCGCCAGCTGCGACCGGCACTTGAACTCTTTGCCGCAGAGGTCGCAGAGCAGCAAGTTCGGCGTCTGCGGCTCGGTGGCGCCACGGACGTGAGCGATCTTCTTGTGGTGCTCGAGGTCGTTGGTCCTCATGTAGGCTTTGGGGCAGAGATCACAGCGGTGAGGTTTGATCCCCGAGTGGATGACCTCGTGGGTCTTCAGCCTGGACCTGCAGCTGAAGGTCTTACCGCACGCCGCACACAGCCAGGCCTGGACCGCGCGCTGCTTCTCCAGCTTGGCGACACCGTTCGGGTGCAGACGGCTCAGGTGGTGCTGCAGGTTGTCTCTGCGGTTGAAGCGGAGTTCACAAAGATGGCAGCCGAACGGCTTCTTCCCCGTGTGGATGAAGGAGTGTCGGGCCAGACTAGACTTGTTCTTCATCACTTTACCACACACGTCACATACGGTGCTGTCGGGCTCCAGCTTTACCACACCCACAGGTGCATGATGTGAGTCTGAGTCCAGCTGGACCTCCTGGTCCAGGTTCACAGCTGGGGGGGGGGGGGGGGAGCAGAGAGTAGGGAGTTAATACATCATAATAAACTTTATTATGACACTGATGAGTCAAATGTAATAATCCTTAAAATCCTTAAAATCCACTTAATATTAACATGAATAAATAAATAAAGTAAATTAAAGTAAATAAATGACAAAATAAAATACAAGAAACTTAATTGTTATTGATAAAAGAATATATAAAGATGTAAAATATATAAAAGATATATATTTTACATATAGGCGTTGATACTCAAATAAAACAAGAAACTTGCATATGAAAAATAAAGATATTGATAAAATGGATATAAAATAAATATTTTTCCTTCTGCTTAATAAATCATTTCAATGAAATCTGATCAATAATTTAATTTTTTTTAAATATATGTATATAATATATATTAAAAATTAAAAAATGAGAACTAGGAAAATACTGTAAATGAAACGAAAGTTACGAATGTAACTACGGTTCTATGAATCCTGGATGACCGCCAGAAGCAGTGCTTAACACTGGATATCTTCCGTCTCGCGCATGCGCAGGTCGAATATTATCAACAAAGTCACTTGTGACCTCGGATGACCCCCGTCGTCTATAAGTTCCAGTGTCATCCTGAGTTCAGTCCTTTTTCATCTTCTCGCTACGCAGGTTAGCTACCATGGTAGCATAAACAAAGATGTGTCTACGATCAAGACATATAAGAGCTTGTCGCTGTAGCCTTGTGACCACCAGTCGGAGTTGCAGATTTCTTGCCCTCCAAAGGCTGCGACAAGCTGTCCCTCTTCGGAGGGAGCGGTGTGTTTCGCCGTTCAGACCATCGAGCCCCGACTGGTGGATGCCCCTATCATCGGTCGTCACCAGTCTGATAAAGGCCACCTAAGTCGTGAAGACAGCAATCGGTGATCGGCTCGCCTTGTATGTATAGGCAATGGCCTCCACTATCCAGTGGGATAGGCGCTGTTTTTTAGAAGGAGCACAGCCCTTCTTAGGCTCACCATAACTGACAAAGAGCTGCTCCGACTGCCGTATGCAGGCGGTGGCTTCCACATAAGCTCTGAGGGCCCGCAGTGGGCACAGCAGCCTTGACCTCTCCTCTCCCGATGGGGGTGTCAACTTTGCCAGCTGGATAGGCTGGTTGATATGTGAACGTGTCAACACCCTTGGGAGAAATGCTACATTTAGGCCACAAAGTGACACCCAAGCCATCCGAGTTCCACCTCAGACATGATTCTTTCACCAACAGGGCATGCAGCTCGCCCCCACGTTGAGCTGAATTGACGGCAAGGAGAAAAAACGTTTTGGCCGATAGCCATCTCGGCTCCGCCTGTGCCAGGGGTTCAAAAGGAGACAAGCATAAGGTGTCCGGTACCAAGGGTAGGTCCCATGCAGGGGCCTTCGGGGCGCTCGGGGGACGCAATCGCATAGCCCCTTTTTTTGGGATGAGGGACACCAGTCTGTGGCTCTCTCCTGTGTCATTATCGACCTTAGTATGCTGCCCCGAAATAGCGGCCACGTATACTCCAAGGGTAGAGGGAGACCGGCCCTTATCTAGGAGGGACTGTAGAAACTCAGTACAGCAGGCACGGGGCATTGTACTGGGACCTTGTTCTGAGCCGCACACCAGTCAGAGAACAGCTTCCACCTGTTTTTGTACTGCAGGCAGGTAGACCGCGTGCTGGCATTCAGAATAGTCAGTCTGACTGGTTCTATGCAGCCACTCAGCATCCGGTCGGGCCCTCCCGTGGCCAGATCCATAGTTGAAGGCGGCAGGGATTGGGATGCCAAATTGCGACAGGAGATCCCTCCTGTCGGGGAAGAACTCTGACAAGCGTTAGCAAGATCAGAGGGAATGGTGGAAAGGCATAAAGAAGATCCTCTGGCCACATATGAGCCAGGGCATCTTGACCCAGAGGACTGGTCCTCTCCGTCAGGGAGACCCAGTGGGGGCAGTGGGTCGACAACACGTCTGGATGCAGCCGCCACTCTCCCGGTGGAGGATTGTGACGGAACAGGAAAACCACAACCTGGTTCCGTTCTCCTGGTGGGTACATTGCCCGCAGGCTGGTCAGGCGAGGGGCCGCCCAAGTCAGAAGGGCACAGTGATCCCCGTAGCAACTTCTGCAGATCTGGTGCCCCATTGATGGTTTATGTGAAAACACAGCAGAGGTGTTGTCCAACTGGACAAGCACATACTTTCCCTTCAAACATGGCAGGAAGTGCTTGAGTGCTAGCTCTAGAACCTTGACCTGCCCCTGCAGTCTTTGAGCAGACAACTGCCCCCAAGCAGTCCTGTTCTGTCACACTGCACCCCGCCTTGAGAGGCAGGTATCTGTTGTGACAATCTACCGGCAGAATGTAACCAAGCCCATGGGGACACTGTTTGCCAGATATGCACTCTCCCTCCATGGGGATAGAGTGAGTAGGCACTGTTTTGAAAATATTATTGCCCTGTATCTGTGCCACTTGGCATCCAAGTGAAGGCTGTGCAGCCATCTGCAAGCCCAGGGAACAACAGTTGAGGCAGCTGTCAGTTTACCCAATAGTCGGAGAAAAGGATGTAGGGCAACCGTCTGCCCCCTTGGAAGGGGGAGAGGTTGTGGGGGTTGTTGTCCACATGCTGGGGCGACAGACAGGCCCTCATAGGGCCAAACTAATGAAAGTTATGCTCTGAGAAGGGCTCAGGTAGCTCCTCTCCATGTTTACCTTGAGGCCCCACCGGGCCACGTGAGAGAAGGCGAGCAGTGTCCTGTGGCACCTGAAGCTGGGATGGCGCCCAGGTCAGCCATTCGTCTAAGTACGGCAGTATGTTCACGCCCTGTGATTGCAGGGGGAAAGGACAGCAGTAACACACCCTGTGAACACCCATGGGGAGATGGGAGAGTCCGAATGGAAGCACCCTGGACTGAAAGTGGCGGCCTTAAAAGGCGAAACGAAGAAACTGCCTGTGGTGATGCACCATGGGAACAGGCGTTGATAGACGTGAACCACTCTCCCTTGGAAATCTGCTGCTGGGAGAAAAAACCGACAGCCGGCCCGGAGACATCTCCTGGCCCCCCTGCCTCTGGAGGCTTTGGGGGGGGGGGGGGGGGGGGGGACTGTTAGTCCCCAAGTTCGGAGGTTGTCTGGGGGGACGTAGGTAGGGTTGTATGGGTAGCAGTCCGGCCTCTCAGCGGGACACTGAGGCCTGTGGCGGCTACTAGGGTAAGCTGGAGGCTGAAAAAATGGCCTTGGGGGGCCAAAGTGGGACCCCTAGGTCTGCGGGGTGCAGGCATGTCCCTGCAAGGACCAGAGAACTGCTGCCTGGTCTGGCTAGCTTCAACAGTTCGCTGAAGCGCCTGTATAGCAGCTGACTCGAACAGCTCACCAGGTTCCACTGGGACAGTACGGAGGGTCCTCTTACATGTCTCAGACAGGGGTGACTGCGCCAGCCAAACCTGGCGGCGAGTCTGGACCAGGGTGGACATCATACGTCCAAGTTCCCTCGACATGAGCGCAAACACCTGCAATGAAGCATCACTGAGGCTGGAGGCGGAAGCGTCGAAAGTAGCCTGCTGTAGAGAAGCTGCGAGGGCAAGCATGAGGTGGGAGAGGGAGTTGTTGATACAGTCCACAGCGCTGCTGTGTCAGAAGCCCTGGATAGCAGGTCATCTTTGACCCGATGTTGGGGTTGAAGGCACCTGGCATCGGGCCTCAGAGTCTCCTCAGGGGAAACTATGATGGACGTAATAGTCAGCTAAATGGCTGGCATACGTGCAAGACCAAATTTTACCACCTCCTGCATGGTCGTCAGGGTTCGGCCATCTGATGTAAGGCGGGAGAGAGCCCTGGTGTGGCCCTCCCTGAGGTGGCCCTCCCTCAGATGCTTGAGGCAAGAGGTCAGGGCCGTCCTCAGGCTGAAGAGGAGCTATACAGGTCCTACAGCCGGGAGAGTTTAACATGGCCGCGATTCTGGAGGAACCCTTGTCCCACTAGTTGATGCGGAATTCCAAATCAGTCTAAGCGGGAGCGCTCTGCTGAATGTTGAGAGAACAGGCAGGGGGCAGTCAGAGGAGAGTGATCTTTTCGGACACACTTCACTAGGACAGTCGCTGCGGATATTGGTGTCCCACCAGTTAGCTTGAGCGAGAGCACTCTGCCACTGTGGAAACAGACCCAAAAACAGTCCTTACAGTGAGAGGGGAGCAAGGACACTCTCTTCACTAGGATATTTGCTGCAGATATTGGTGACCCACCAGTTAGCCTGAGCGAAGACACTCAGCTAACTGTGATAGCCGTAATGTTACAAAATCAATGGACACAATCCCAGTATTAACTTAGTCTAGTTAGTGTCCCACCAGGTTAGCCTGAGTGAAGACACCGCCAGCTGCGTCAGCCGTAATGCGTAAAAAGCATCAATGGACACAACATCAATGTTGATTTAGTATAACTAGCATTCACCGAGTTAGCTTGAGCGAGGACACTCTGCTAACTGTGATAGTTGTAATGCTACAAAGTCGATGGACACAGCCCCAGTATCAGCTTTGTCTAGCTAGCTTCCCACTGAGTTAGCCTGAGCGGGGACGCTCTGTTAACTGTGACAGCCGTAAGGTTATAAAGTCGATGGACACAGTCCCAGTATCAGCTTTGTCTAGCTAGCATCTCACCAAGTTATAGCCTGAGTGAGGACACTGCTAACTGTGAAATATGTCAGATGTAAAAAAGAAATCTCAATGGACACAATGCCAATGTCGATCTAGTCGAGCTAGTCTCTCACCAAGATCGCCTGAGCGGGAACACTCTGCTAACTGTGATAGTCGTAATGTTACAACATCAGTGGACATAATGCTAATGTCGAACTAGCATCTCATCAAGTTTGCCTGAGCGGGAACACTCTGCTAACTGTGATAGCCATAATGTTACAAGCTCTGCCAACCGTGGAAAACGAACAACGGTTATAGAAAACAATGTTAATCGATCTCACCGATTGCTGTCTTCACGACTTAGGTGGCCCTTATCAGACTGGCGACGACCGATGATAGCGGCATCCACCAGTCAGGGGCTCGATGGTCCGAACGGCGAAACACCGCTCCCTCCGAAGAGGGACAGCTTGTCACAGCCTTTGGAGGGCGAGAAATCCGCAACTCCGACTGGTGGTCACAAGGCTACAGCGACAAGCTCTAATATGTCTTGATCGTAGACACATCTTTGTTTATGCTACCATGGTAGCTAACCTGCGTAGCGAGAAGATGAACAAGGACTGAACTCAGGATGACACCGGAACTTATAGACGACGGGGGTCATCTGAGGTCACAAGTGAATTTGTTGATATAAATATTCGACCTGCGCATGCGCGAGACGGAAGATATCCAGTGTTAAGCACTGCCTCTGGCGGTCAGTAAGGATGAAATAGAACTGAATTTAAATTTTTTATTTCTACTAAAAGTCTGATATTTGATCATGAATGAAGAGAGACTTCTCCACTCACCTCCTTCAGGTGGAGTCCAGGTGGGATCACCTGTGTCCTCCTCCACCTCTTCCTCCACCTCTTCCTCCACCTCTTCCTCCTCCACTTCCTCCTCCTCCTCCTCCTCCTCCTCCTCCTGTTGGATGTCAGTAGCAGGCGACACACGACGGTAGCGGCGTTGAGAAGAACCTTGTTTGACGGCTTTAGACCTCTGAAGTCTCCTGTGGGACCTGGACCTGGACTGTGTGGGTTTGATGGGTCTGGTTCTGGTCCGGTTGGTGGTGCAGTGCTGCAGCAGAGCGCCACCGTCTGGTCCATCAGGTCTGACTGCAAAACACTGCAGCAGCATCGCAGACGAACCTGCAGAGTTTTAACATCGGGAGGATTAAACCCTCACATTTTCAAGTTTAGAATAAAGTACTCAAGTCTAGAATAAAGTCTAGAATAAAGTCTAGAATAAAGTATTTAAGTTTAGAATAAAGTCTAGAATAAAGTATTTAAGTCTTGAATAACGTGTAGAATAAAGTATTTAAGTTTAGAATAAAGTATTTAGGTCTAGAATAAAGTCTAGAATAAAGTATTCCAGTCTAGAATAAAGTATTGAAGTCTAGAATAAAGTCTAGAATAAAGTATTTAAGTTTAGAATAAAGTCTAGAATAAAGTATTCAAGTTTAGAATAAAGTCTAGAATAAAGTATTTAAGCCTTGAAGAACATGTAGAATAAAGTATTTAGGTCTAGAATAAAGTCTAGAATAAAGTATTTAAGTCTAGAATAAAGTATTTAGGTCTAGAATAAAGTCTAGAATAAAGTATTCAAGTCTAGAATAAAGTC